TTTTAAGGGGCCTGTTTACCTTTTAAGAGGGAGGGGTATGGGGGGGGGGGGTCAGCTGGGGACTAGATGCAAACCATGTTTAGTAAAGTAGCTAATATCTGAGAAGAGATTGTGACCATGCTACAAACACTTTTAAAATAAGGACTCTTATAGGCAAACCCAAGAAACCATACACAATTTCCATTTAAAATAATTTTGTAATGGTTTTACATACATTTTTGGTAAATATATGATTGTACTACTCAAACTGGGTTTGTTGAGGCAGGGATGAGTATGTGTAAATTGAATAGTCTTACGTGAAGTATTGTCAGTAATGCCACTATCGTCTTGATAAATGATTGCACCTTCTTATAAGAATCTTACAGATAGTTTCCTATTATCAGTTTCTAGTTATATTTATGTAGTGTGCTTTAGCATTTGTTTCTGACTGATTAGCTTTAAGTGCATAGTTTTTGTTTTTTTATAAATTCCCTGATAACATCTATAATATGGCTTCAGTGTAAAGTGTGATTGTAGTATTAACATTTTGTAACCAAAGCATTACACTACAACTCATAAAATTTTCAGATCAGCAAATATGTCTCCTGGGTTAATACAGGTCTTCTGACAAACACAAGATGTGATCCACATCATTTTCCAGGTAAATGAGCCTTCATTTTGACAGTGGAATTGAACTGTTATCATTTTAGACTTGTTGGGGATACAGCATCTGCGATCTGTACACACTCCGCAATAGGTGGGTCTGTAGCTCCGTCCTGTTGAACACTCCGATAATGTCAATTTAACAGGTTGAGGTTCTTGAAATGTAGGCTGACAGGTTTTTCCTTTAGGGATCTGTAAAGGAATAGTGTGCAAAACAACCATTACTTTTTCCTGCATCTCCTTCATAACATCTTCTCTGTATTTTACACTTTTTTGATTACTTTGCATTTTGGACACTTCCTTCTTTTGGTTGTCTTTATACTCACTAAGACCTGTTCTTTCAAGGTCTTCTTTAGTGCTACCTTGGTGGTGTACTTGGTTCATTCCTGACTTTAAATTGTCTCATATATAACATTTTCAGGTACTAACAAAGCGCCTTTGCACCTTAACTCTAACTCACAAGAGCACCAAAATTCTTGACACCCTCATAATCTTTTGCCCTGACTACTGCTTTATCCTTCTCTAATCCACTAACAAAACTGTAAACTCTATAATCTATCATTAGTACTGCAGAAGACTCCATATCCCTCCCAGAATTACAATTTACGATTCTTTGCCTTGTACACACTGCACATCCCATCCCCTTTGCATAGTTTAGTCTCATACACCCATGCTCCCCATAGCACACTATCTCTGCTTCTCTACTGTTCTGCTAATGTCCTCTACAGGGCAAAGGATCAGTGTTAAAGTAAAACTCCGGGCAGAATTATTCTTAACACTTGCTGTGGGGCTACCCCCGCCCTGCAAGGGTTAAGTGCTTGTTTTGGTTTAAGGTCGGAAATAAAAAAAGATATACTCACCTGTGCCTTGTAGCTGGCTGGCTGTTAGAAGGTTTTCTCTCACAGCTGCCACATTTACTAAGGAGGTGAAGGAGGATTATTCCCCTCCCACTTAAGAAAAATCAGATCAGGAAGAGATTCTATCTGATGAAATCTCTCCAAAATGTAGGGATACCACTGAAATGCCTATCGACTTGGCTCGCAAATGCCTCAAGAAAAGCCTTGAGAGGATGCCCTTTGATGGGGTTTACCTGCCTGGATGCTTACATTTAAGGAAGTCACTGATTTGTTAGCGTTCCCAAGGCAAAAGGAGCCATTCACACTATTCTGGACCTAAAAATTCTCAACGGATTCCTGCAGGTTCAAAAGTTTTGAATGGAATCTGCCAGGTCATTCTGGTATCCTCTGGCCTCTGTGGACATCAAGGATGTTTACCTACACAACCCCATTTTTCCACCTTATCAACATTATCTGCGTTTCGCTGTGGACACGCAACATTACTAGTTATTGCCCTCTCCATTGGACTGCCCACACCACCCTAGGTCTTTACCAAAGTATTTGGCCTAGCTCTGCTTTGCTCTAAAAGGATCCACATAATGAGTTACTTAGACAATCTCCTTCGAAAGGACCAGTCAGTCCAGGTCCTGTCAGCCAATGTCACTGATGCAGACTCTAGGGCTGTATCTTCAATCTCCATTGCATCTGACTAATTATTTGAAGTATTTTGGCATGGTTTTGGTCCTGGTGCCCTAGTTCGAGGTGGTACCATACACACAATTTCACAGCGTGGGAAAAACAGACTCAGTATCTGGATTGCCACACATGCCTGAATAGTTCAGCAAGGATCTCTCTGACATGATGGATTTCCAATCTGGCACTGGAGTCAGGCAAATCCTATCTCTCAAAAGCTTTCACGACCAATTGTAGCCTATGTGGCTGGGGAGTAGTGCTGGATACCTGCTTCATTGAGGGGACTTGGTCACTGGAGGAAACTCAGCTTCCCATCAGTATTCTGGAATTCAGGGAAATCATGTTGTCCGTTCTGGGTTGGACCTCTGGTCTTTGAGGTCACCCAGTCAGAATCCAGCTGGACAATGTATGTCATTGGCCTACATCACCCACCAGGGGGCACCAGAGTGCTGCTCAAAGAGAAGCTGATCTGATTCTGGCATAGGCAGAACTACACATTCTGACCAAGACCGTTGTGCACATGCCAGGTGTGGAAAATTGGCAGGCCAACTTCCTCAGCCATTAATGTTTGGATCTAGGTAATGGTCTCTCCACCCAGAGGTGTTCTGAGTGCTCTGTCATAGGTGGTAGACTCTGTTGTTGAACCTAGATGCCAGAAGGTCCACATCCAAACTGGACAGGTTTGTTGCCAGGTGCAGGGATCCTCAGGCCTGGTGACTCCCTGGAATGAGTTTAGCCTGATCTATACCCTTCCTCTGGTAAATCTTCTCCCTCATCTACTCTACAGGATTGAGATGGAGGGCATTCTGGTGATTATCATTGCACCAACTGGCCCGGAGACTGTGGCACTCTGACATACTTAAACTCCTGGCGGGCTCTTCCAGACCTTCAGTCTCCTTCTCAGTCATTGGCTTGGGCTTCAATAGCCAAGTCCTAATGAACAGGGACCTATCGCATTTGGTCATCCCGATGCTCCTGAAAGCTTCCTGCATTTCATTCCATCATTGCTTGGTGGATTAGACAACTCATCATTCAAGCCCATGGTCTGAAGGATTGGATTACCCCCATTACTGTTAAGTGACACGAATTGCAAACGCACTCAGTTCATAACTAGCTTTAACGCCAAGTGCACATGAATGGGCTTTACAAAGTACAAAAACAAAAATTTCCCAGTGCACTTACCAGCCAACCTGCAAACAAAATACACTAACTACTAGCGTTAAAAACTGAGATTTTAGTCGCACAACTTTAGCAAAATATGTGGAAACCACACTGCCTCATCAAGGCCCCTCTCTGTAGTATACACCATTCCTGTTAAGGCACACTCTAATAGGTCTGTTTATGCTTCACGGGCTTTTCAGCATCGTGCTTCACGGGCTTTTCAGCATCGCGCATCTGTTTCCCAGATTTTCAAGGTTGCCACCTGGTCTTTTTTTCCACGTTTGTTAAGTTTTGCCAGTTACATATTCAGGCCTCGTCTCATGGCAGTTTTGAGTGTGAAGTGCTTCACATTGCTGTCTAAGTTGTTTGAGCTTTCCTTGACCCTTTGTTACTTGTGCCTGTTATTGTTTGATTTCTTTGTTGCCCACCCCTCAGTTGGACTGCTTTTGGTCACCCCATGGTGTCCTGTACTTTTCAATGAGTAAGTAATTCATATCCTTCATCAGTAAGTAATTATCTTCATTAGCAATGCCATTCTGGTAACCTACTCTATATGGTGTCTTTATTGACACAGCATTCACTTTAATGCTTGACAAACATACCAATCTATTATCAAATTTGTTAGTAGATTGCACCTTCTCATGTACCTGTTTTGTAGAAGACTAGCCACAAACAAGCAGGGTTGTTTACTATATATACAGTATACACAGTATATTCAAATAACATATTTCACTGCACTGGTTAGTTGGAAGATCAAGTTTGGATTAGATATGACTAAATTTTCATTGTTACCCATGGCAATGTATTGATTTACATTTATATTTAGTTCCAACAAACAGTACTTTAGAGAACTCATAGAACCATTCACCCCAACCCCTGCCATTGAGGCACTTACATTGCAGTGTCCCTACCACAGCCATAGACGTACACACATACTCTAGGGGGCAATTTGATTAGAAGACATGTAAATTGACAAATGTATTTATGTTTTCAGAAAAGATTTGAGAAATCAGAGGAAACCTGCCCAAGCAAAGGCTGACACTACACATTCCATACAGATTGGGTACTGGTGAGAACTGAATCTAGCAGCCCAGTGCTATACATGGCAAAAAGTTAATTGTTTGGTAACCATTTGAGTTCTGGCATATCCTTAAATGTATAGATCTATAGTAATTATTAAAAAGATCAATAAAAGTCGCAATGACAACCTACAAATGGAAGGTAATACTGGCTTACCTTTATAGCACTGAGCAGAGTAGTATTACATGGTCGAAGGTAGCATAGTCTTTTTTCTTTTCTCTTTTCACATTTGCTGTTTTCATTTGTAACTCTGATAGAAATCCCCATACCACATGTTTTGGAACACGGACTCCATTGAGTTGCCTGGACCAGGCACTTCTTTTTCCAAACGAGTGGTAAAATCTTGTACACTGGAACAAAGCATAGTATATTTAAAGTGAGATGACCCACAAACTGACATTTTAGGTTATGGGTGGACAGCTGTAGGTTTGATCAACCACTGCTTATAATATAATAAATTATGGGTAGTCCCCCTGTGTATACCTAGTTTTACACCTCTCCCCCTAGTTGCATATTTAGACAAAACATAAAAGGTTGTAAGGGTTTCTGGAGGGGTGTAAATGACCGTCCAAGAGATATTTTTTAAAGAAATATACAAATTTTATTACATAATTGATTAATTGCATACATGATTCAAAACAATCTTATTAAAAATCAAAACCCTGCAGAGGATACATCGGTATATTCATGATTAACAACTCTAAAATTCATTTGGTCCGACAATTCATTATTTTGTTCAATGTATTCAAATGTGGTTTCATGATTATAACCAAATAGTACTTTTTCAAAGCATAGCTTAACTTATTAGGCCCCGACGCGTTTCACCATGGGCTTCATCAGGGGACCCATTCAGGATGAATCTATTAATAGATTCATAGTAAAACTACTATTTGGTTATAATCATGAAACCACATTTGAATACATTGAACAAAATAATGAATTGTCGGACCAAATGAATTTTAGAGTTGTTAATCATGAATATACCGATGTATCCTCTGCAGGGTTTTGATTTTTAATAAGATTGTTTTGAATCATGTATGCAATTAATCAATTATGTAATAAAATTTGTATATTTCTTTAAAAAATATCTCTCTTGGACAGTCATTTACACCCCTCCAGAAACCCTTACAACCTTTTATGTTTTGTCCAAAACTGCTTATAATATGTTTGATTTCGTATGAGAGCTCCTCCTGCATTCTTGGTTCTTACTCACCCACCATACACTTATTTTCCATTTCCATTCTCCTTAAAGGAGAGCTATGAGGTGAATGATTTACACTCATCCTCATCGTTAGAGCCGACATGTGACAATGAAACTGTCACACATCAACTCTATAGATCGGGAAGTCAGCAAACACATACTGTACCTCGCTCACTTCCCCATCATCTCCCTGCAGAGAGCGTTGACTGTCTGTCACCACTCCCCACAGGGATCCCCTTCCTCGTCTCAGATCCTCCAGCGCTGACAGTATTGTCGGGATCCATCCCAGCTGCTGTGCTCTCAGTATATAGCAGGCAATAGCCCACTATATACTGAGCTTTGGGTCACTGGAGTAGGTTAGTATATGTCCTCCCATGACCCTAAAGAGAACGAAGGGATAAAAAGGTTACCCCATAAAAACAATGAAAAATCCAGTAGGGGAAGAGGTGCTTCTTTGTATGTCCACAGTAAATTGACAGACTTTAGAACTCCTTGCCAGAGTCCCAAAGCGGTGGAATAAGCTGGTGTGAGACTTAACCCAGTGGCATTTACCAAATACCTAACATACAGCAAGAATAGAATGTATGAAACTATGTTCTTAACAGCAATGTATAGACTTTAAATACTCTAAAGCCAGACAATTCGCATGGCAACCGGGTAAGTAACATTGTCAGACGATCAGCAACGACAGCAACCATATTTCTCTCATGGCACATTAAGATTAACAGTATATACACTAAAGTCTCCTTCACGTCTGTCCAATGCGTTGCAGTGCTTTACCACATGCATATTAACATGTTATACCTTAAGGAATTCCATTGTTTTTGAATAGGCTGCCAAGACATCACATGAAAAATCATACAGGAGACTTTAGTCAATGCAACACATCACATTGCACAGATGGTAACCATCTTTACATTTTGGTGAGCTAAAACACACATGTGTTGAGGTTTGTTTGCATGGTGCATTGGAGTACAATTCAGAATAGATTTATGTTGGGGGAAATTGTAATTAGTGGAGAACTGTAATAGAGTTTGTGTATTTGTGTAGATCTTGGGGGGTTAATTTAGTAAAGGCAAGTGGCCTGTTTACTTTACAAGGCAATTTGCACTTTTCGGGGTAGTTTCACTTAGCTTGGTGAATGAGGTGATATTTCACTTCACAAAGAATACCCAATGACCAGCAAAGAAAATAAATTTAAAAAAAAAAGTATTATTGGTTGTACATGATTGGATGATGGAAGTCAGCAGATCTTTACCTTATTCACTAAACAAAGGGGAAACATCCTTTGCAAACTGCAAATTCCCTTGCCAATTGAACAGCCTATTTGCCTTTAGTAAATCAACCCCTAGGTCTCAAAATACTTTATACATATGCACAATTTGTGGTGCACTGTTAAAATGAAAAGCTGTCTGAGAATAAATGTGTAGATTACTTATCCACAAGTCTTTGGTATGTAAGAATGGACTTAATGTCTGGATTAGTACACAAGTTCCATCTCAGACATCTATCTTCTGTATTGGTCTTTATGATAAAGCTAATGAAATAAAGTGGCTCTCAGCTGACTAAAAAAGTACATTCTCTAACATTTTCAGCGTGTACAAGTGTTTTTTGACATTGACAATGTCAATTTTGACATTGAACTGGAATGGGTTTAAATATGCACGTTTTTGAAAGTTATACGTCTAAAATGATTTCTTTTTTAAGCATTAGGGGAGCTAGTTGACCGTGAATACAGAGTGGAACTTATGGTAATATTTCTAGCTCTTATGTTAGTCATAATATTATGTGACAAGTACATCTTAAGAATTGCATGTCTCAATATTTACAGTTCTCTAAGGTTTTCCAAGTAGAAGTGAATTATATGCATTAAACTTATAGACAGATAAAGCTAGGCTGGGAGTGTGATAAAAAAGGGTTCATTTGACTAGAAGGTTCAGGTAGGACTCCTATGCAGAGTGGCATGTCATGACCAGTTTTCAAAGTCTTTTGTCTTTAAATCAGCAAGGTATCTCAGTAGGTTGTTTCCAAAAGTCTAGTAATATTTCCACCAAGGACACTATTTGCATGCATTATTTTGGTTTCCTCCAGGTACCCTAATTTTTGCCAAAAACTCAGACACATACTCATAGCTTAACTGGTGTCTGATCAAGTTGGCTCTTGGGTAAAAAAGTGTGATTGAATGTGGTCGGGACTTATGTTAACAGTCGTATATACTTTGTAATGGGATAATATGTTGACATCAAACAAGATACATGCATTTGAGAGTCTCCAACCACCTAGTCATAGTATTTGAATTGATACTTATTCGCAGCTAGGACGTTGGTAATCTACTCCACATTCTATTTTAAGTCACATGTCATTGTTCCAGTTCACTGGGTTGTTCACGAAGTCTGTATTACCGTTACAAGTTCAGTTCATAACATTATTGTCACACTGTATAGAGGCTAAATACCAGGGTGGTCAAAAATATCATTCTTCTCCTGGTGTGACACCCTGATGCAGTGATCTGGCAAAGAAGCAGACCATGGAGGCTACTGCAGGGGACAAAAATTATTTCTTCTAGGATTTTAGAAGCACTCGGTATTGTACACACAGGTTTACCAATGCACTCAAAACAAAAAAAGGTCTCTGGCAAAGTTGAAAAAGGTGTATTATACTGTTTTGGAACTTTAAACTACGGGGATGATGCAAGTATGTGTGCAAATATATATTTTTAAAAAGCCCTCTTTTAAAAAAAGAAAAACTAAGGGGTCTATTCACTAAGCTGCTGTAGGCAGCCGAGTGAGTAACCGACCCGAAGTGAAGTGAGCCGAACGTATATCGGCTTGCTTCGTGTCGCCCGGACATGCTCAGCATGTTCGGCCGACCCGAAGTGCAGCAGGAGTTCGACTCAGCCGAACCTCCGGCAGGCTACTCGCTGCTGTTCGGCCTATTCTCATAGATGCCGAACAGCAGTGAGTGAATAGCCGAATGCCGCCGAGCGGCATTCGGCTCAGCTGTTCTGCTCTGTACCTCTGTGGTACCGAACAGAACAGAAAAACAGTGAAAAAAAGTAGAAAAAATCAAATCTGAAACGATTGGGTGGAGCTAGCAGTGACAGCTAGCTCCACCCAACAGTTTTCTATTGGCAGAACGGTTCTGCTCGTGTCAGAATAAAAAAAAACTCCATAGGAATGCATAGCTAGATTCCTATTGGCTATTTCACTTTGCAATAGCCAATAGCAAACTAGCTATTGCACCCAGCTGTAGGCCGGCCGTTTGGCCAGCTTCGGCTTTCACCTCGGCTCGGTATAGCCGAAGCATATGCCTTCGGCTCGAATGATTCGCTCGGCCGACTTCGGGAGCTGTATGGGCTATAGTGAATAGCCCGTACAGCAGCCCTTCGGTTCTACTGCACCGAAGGGGTCCTGGGGCCGAAGCTAGCCGAAGGATCAGCCGAAGTTATGGCTAGATCCTTCAGCAGCTTAGTGTATAGACCCCTAAATATCATGTGTTATTGTAAGAGTCTACTCTCACCTTGTCTTTATCAGTGCTTCGTAAAGATTTAGGAAAACATTTCAACATTGCCCATGCTTAACATTGTTCATTACTGTGACCAAATCTATACGTGTACCTGAGAGGTAGACATTGGTTTAATGCTGTCAGATGAGGAAGCAGGTTAGAAGCCCAGAACTTATCTGCAATACATAAGAGTATGTTACAATGTTGTTAGTTTGAATATTAAATAGTTTATTTCATGCTATTATACAAAGATGCAAAGCAAAGCTGATAAGTGGCAAGGTATGAGATAATATCACGCAACTTTCATAGGTAAAAGTTATCAGTATATATATTTGCAACATATCCCACTATTTTTTTAGGATACAAAATAGTAATTGCTAACTTGTTTTTGAAGTTAAATGGTCTGGGCTGTCTTTCTAATCATATCTTTATTACCTATTGAATCAATAACTCGGAACACGTCGTGCACTGATGTGCACATGCTTGTTCCAGGCCAGTGATTTATCAAATAGTGAAGGAATTATAAAGTTACAGCATGACAGCCCTAGAGCCTGCATCTCCAAAGCAAGTTAGTAAAGTAAATATATATAGAGAGATATAGATATGTACCGTATTTTAAGACGCTACTTTTTCTTAAAAATATTT